TCCATTTGCCTGAGCATAGTCTCCAGGAGGAGAGTGAAAAACAGAAGATTGAAAAATAGGAGGATAGGCAACAAAGGAGCATGACAACAGCCTTGTCCCATGTTTTGCTGTGTCCAAGTTGAGTCAAATTACCATTTCCCTAACCTCAGATACTTTGGTCCAAACCTCCTGCTTCCATCAGCACACCTGTGCAAGAAGCTGCAGGGACTAACATACAAGGGAGGAAAATCAGACGTGGGTGTTTGAGATGTGAAACTTCTGCTTCCAATGAACTATAAAAGCAGAAGTCTGAGATGAGATCAAAGTCTTGCACAGAACACCTGTGCCATGGAAGGACTAAGACTTCTAGGTACTTAAATGCTTTTTTTTTTTTTTTTTTTAATCCTTGGGCTTTCAAAAGTACCTAGTTTCCATTGAATCCAATTATAAATAAAGCAAGCCCAGCCCATTCATTTGCAGGAGGGCTGATCGTCATTTGTTTTAGGCATAACCAGTAGAGAGGATCAAAAGAAAGTGTAAAGAAGCCAGGTTAGGGGAGGGTATTTGTTAGCAGAGACTGGATGCCAGACAGGGTGCACAGGGACCTCTGTGAATGACAGAAAGCTGCGGTATGCTGCAAAGAGGCTCCTGCATGTGTACAACTGGCTGAGGGAGGCTGTCCTGCATTGGCAAAAGTCTGCCCGTTCAAGTTTGGGGGAGGATGAACGTTTTATTTCTAATGCTGACTGACCTCCGGTTTCAATCAGGTGTGTCAGTTTTCCCACCATACACGTACTTGATTAAGATGGGGGCAAGTGGTTTTCCTGACCCCCAAGAGTAATGTTGCAGAGCATTTGCACAGCCAAGAGGCACAATCCCCCTAAGCAGGGGTCAGACACTGCTGCCAGTCCCATTGTGTAGGCCAGGTTCATACCTGAAGTGCACGAACGTAAGAAGGACACAGAGCTGTTGGAGCAAGTCCAGAGGAGGCTACAAAGATGATCAGAGGGCTGGAGCACCTCTCCTATAAGGACAGGTTGAGAGAGTTGGGATTGTTCAGCCTGGAGAAGAGAAGGCTACGGGGACACCTTACAGCAGCCTTCAAGTCACTAACGGCGCCTATAGGAATGT